ATGGGCTAGTACGCACTGGGTAGCTGTATACTTACCCGTCTCAAGGAGATGAGTTGCAAGCTGCAAGTTGCAACCCGCTCCTCCGAAGAAAATAAAACAAAGTATCATAACAAAGACAAATGGCAGAGACAATTGCCTTCATAATGCAATGAGAAGAGGAAATGGTGCAGGGGTTTATGTAGTAAACAATGTACGGTCTGAAGCTTATTTGATTGGAAGTCGGTCGAAAGAGGGCAAAGAAAAACACAAGTCAATTGGTGGAGTTTCTGCCTTGCTCACCAAGACATCATTAATTTAAGGAAAAGAATTTGCTCACCAACCCTCAATTAAAGATGATGGAATAGAGCTGAAAAAAACAAACAACTTGAGTTCTTTTTGTTTTTTTTAATTTTATTTTGACGTAACGATGATTTTTTTTTTTTATAAAATAATGGTTAGGAAGTTAATAGAGTTAGTTAATTTATTAGCAGTTAGGATTTTCATTTCACCTCTTTATATAAGGCGTACGGCCATTAAATCATAAATTGATAGAGTTCATAACGATAACAGAACTTGAAGCACTAACCTCCGCTTCACTCAAGCCCTCCGCTACACTCAAACCCTGAGACTTGGGGACCAACCATCAAACCTTCGGTTGGTGACGTAACGTTGATTGTTCTGATGCAGCGCCAGTGGCCTGTGGCCTCCCCCTATAAAGTACAAACCAAAAGGCATTATTTTTTTTTTTTTTTGGTTTCCTATCTGGTATACGAGGCTTCATTTCGATTAATTCAGATTGATCTGGATCGCGCACCTGAAAATAGTGGATGAGTATTCTAACAAAGGCTGTTACACACACAAAATCTCAAACTCAAAATTTTATTTAAACTGAAATAGACTGCTTACCACTTGATCCAACTTCTCATTAGTAAAGGTATTGATTTTTGATTGTCAGCGATCTTGGCTCTATTTAATACGCTCATTCAATCATTTTTGTTAAGAGTAAACTATACAAATAACTCAGTAATTTTTTTTATATTAAAAAATAAAAAATTTTAAATTCAATTAGTATAATATGTAAGTGAAATGAGATACGAAATAAAAAATAATTATATTTTATTATAAAACCAAAATTAAAAAAAAAATTCTCTTTTAAGAAAACTTGAAATTAATGAAATTATAGCAACCTGAAACACAATTCTTTATTTATTTTAAGTTGTTTAATAAAAAATATTTATACTTTATAATTTTATAATTTTATTATTAATTTTTTATGTAATATAATTTAAATTTTAAATTTTTTTTATATCATCACAAAATTATTTAAACTGCTGACGATTCCTTAGCTATCTACATACTGTGGGCATGATTTTAGACTCATGCGTCAAGTTGTGGTAGCTTGTCCCCTATTTTACGATTACCTCTTTAATTTCGAAGACTTCGATGAGTCCCGACCGGTGATTATTCTCACCTTCGTACCATCGGAGTCCTAAGGTCCTTGTTAGTTGTTAGCCCAGGAAGATATGCTTTGATTCTGCTACAAATTGAACTTGGATTGGAATTTGGACATGTAGCAAAAGGTCTTAGGTCTACACAATTTCGCTTCATTCTTCATTGTGTATGTATCAGATTCAATTCACTTCCCAGTCTTAACTTTTAGCCGAATCATTCATAAATTTATACAAATCCAGCAATAGCAGCCCTTTTACTTCCTCTTCCAAGGATGTTTGTGGTTTGAGTTTTGTTGTATCGAGAATTTGATTTGGAAAATCAATTGCATTAAGTTTATGAAAACTTGACAACAACTAAAAAACCTTATTAGATATTTTAAGTAATAACAAAAATACTTTAGAATAGATAAATAATAAATGAAAACTTACAAGTAATTATTTAAAAGTAGCTATTAGATGTCCCTCCACTCACTCTCTCTCATCCATTCACATCACACTCATCTCTCCTCTCTCAAATTCTCTTCTTCCTCTGGCTCTCCACTCACCCACGCACAAAGATTTACACCATGAAGCATGAACCCATATCTTCGGCTAAAGTGTTAAGAGTGCCAAGCCAAAGACCCAACTCCAGTCTTTGGCTAAGCTCTAATGCTTTACTTGTTTTGCAACTTCCTCACGGGAAACCAAATGGCTGTCCATAGGTGAACGCCACCAATTGATTTCAACATTGGAATCCTGTCAACCATTTTCTAGTGTTGACAGTTCAAATTCAATTTGAACTCTTCTTGTTGTAACTTATTCTGTAGTTTTGTATTATCTGTTTCTTTATTGATTTTCCTGATTTCCTCCACTTTTGTGCAACAACCGTATTCTTCTACTTGTATACGTAGTTCTCAAAAGCAACAAAAGAGATAATATCAAATTTACTCTTCCCTCCCGCAGAAATCTGGTGTTGATCCTAATCAAAGTCATTTTCAGCAATATTTCAATTTCAACGCTCCACCTAACAAATCCCGAAAATCCCAAGCCTCTAATTTGCTCCTAAAGAAACAACCACTAAAACAACACCTTCTGAGCCATCCATCCAATTATCCAAATCAACTTGTAGTTTAATATAATAAAATCCTCACAGAACAAAATTAGACTTGTATCAGATTCTAAACACCAATCATAATCCAGATTTTGATACCCAAAAACTGTTACTAACCCATAAAATACTAGTAAAATACTTTCACAATAACAGGAAGAACAGAATAGCTTTTTAGCTTCAGCAAACAGCTCATTACTACACCAATTTTTACAAAATCGGATGGTCCAGACTCCATCGTTCTGAAAAAAAGGCTTCACCTAAATATATACATACATACGTAAAGTACATGATCAAAAACCCTTCCTCTATACTTGAGGAGGCAAAATGAGGAAAATGAAAATTAAACAGCAAGATTATTTCTGTTAATATAAAACTAAAACGCGGGAACGACGCCGAATCCGTAGATGCTGGTATGGTCGGCTTCAGCTTCGGCTTCCACATCGGCGCGCTTCGCGAACCTTCCCTTGATACGGGGGCGCATCTCGGCGTACGCTTTACGGGAAGCGTAACGGATGGTCTTCTGGAACTTTCGGTTCTTTCTCTTCTCTCTGTACCTCAGCACCCTCGCTTCTCTGTCCACCGACGACAGCTGCACCGCCTGAGGCGTCGTTGACTCCATTGCTCGACCGTACGGGTTCGTTATGTCCGTCATGGCGCTGCCGTCTGGGACCACGCCGACGTCCATGGAGGATGAAGATACCTGAGATCCCATTCACCGGATTAGACTTGGAAAGAAAATAGGGAAAATAGAATTTGAAAGTAAGAGATGGCGTTCTAGCTTACACTGTGGCTGAGGCACTGGGCGGCGTAGCCATAGGCAAAGTGTTTGGGACCGGAGAAGTCCAAATCGAAGCAGTGATCGTTGACCATCGGAGCTTGAACGCTCTTGCTCTGCACCGGGACTACACCATCGGTACCTGAACTGTTCTGTTCTTGCGCTTCAATTTTCGGATCCACCGAGCCGCAATCCAGATCCAGATACGGATCCATTTCCGAGAACACATACTGACCGGCGTTCACATCTGATGTCTCCACGGCCTTCTGGTTAGGATTCGGCAACAGCCACGACGCCGCCTCCTCCTCCTCTCGCCTGACATCGGCGTCACCATCAACATCGGAGAAATAACGGTCTTCAAGGAAGTTAACAGCACCGTTCGGTTTCACAGGTGCGGAACTCACAGACTCGAAGAACGGAGTCACTGGGACTCGCTCGTGTCGACGGGCGAGCGGATTCGCCGAGTGTATGTCTCGGTCACAAGTGATGCAGAGGGCAGCAGCGTCAGCCTTGCAGGTGACGTAAGCAGGAGCCTGCTCACACACCGCGCACACCCACACCCGCGCGTGACGCGACGCGAGCTTGTTGGCCGCGTGAACCTTGGTGTCACAGTTGACGCAGAGGAAGGCGGTGTCGGCACGGCAAAAAAGCGTTGCCGTCGCCGATTTGCACGAGTCACAAAGCTTGGACGCCATTTCCACAACTCTTTAAGTGTAAAAACTCTTATTCCCTTTTCTCTCTCTCTCCTCCGTCCCTTCCTCTGCTCGTGAAACTGAAGGTACTCAGAATACAGAGACTGAGACACGCATATACGAAACAATAGTAAGGTTAAATTCTTAATTTCGTCTCTGAATTATTATATTAACTCTTGACTTGGTCCTGAATTAAAAATTTTTTGATTTAATCCTTAAATTATTGTACCGATCTTAATTTTATCCATATTATTTACCTATTTATTTTAAATTGATCTTTTTGAATAAAAATCAATTGAACATATTTTATTATTAACATGACATATGATCATTAAATTATTATTTTTAATCATTAAATTATTATTATTTTTGTTAAATAATAAACATGTCAATTATTTTTTATACAAAAAAAATCAACTTGAGGTAAATTGATAAATAGTAAGATTAAATTGAGATTCATACAATAGTTTATGAATTAAATCAAAAAATTTTTTAATTTAAAGATCAAATTAAAATTTTATACAATAATTTAAGGATGAAATTGAGATTTAACTTGATAGTAACACACAATTCAATTGTGTTTTGTTTGGACACCGTGAAGAGTCTATCTAGTGGGACAGGGGAGATCTACGGGATGGCCAATAGATGTGCTACACGTGGAATAAGCTTAGCCAAAATACGGAGGAATTTTAATTAGCGTAGAAAATTTGGGGATGCCTTGATTGGGCCTGTCATTGTCATGATTTGTCTTAATTCTAATAGGAATTGATCATTTCATATATTCATGCCAAAATTTTGGGGTAAAACCACAAGATAAGCCCTTGAACGAACCTCAGAATTGCAATTGAGTTCTCAGATTTTAATTAATGCACATAAGTTCCTAAACTTTGTGATTGGTGCAATTTTACCCTTACTTTTACTTGCCAACTTAGGAAATGTTTGGTTTAACTTGTAAGAGCTTTTGCTTTTTTAATACTGTTTTGAGTGATAAGTTTTAAATTTTTATTAGAGAAAAAATTTAAAATTTTTTTTTAGAGATAAGAAAAAATAAGTAAAAAGAGAGTAAAAATGAGGTTTATGAAAAATTTGAATTTGAAACTTTTAAGATCTTACTGTTTAAGATCTTTTTAAGGTTAAAAAAAGTTTTAAAATGTAAGTTTTTAAGAGAAAAATTAAAATTTATAAAATATGAATGTGTCAAAAAGCTGAAACTCCTAAAAGTTCCACCAAGTAGGCCTTTAGCATCTGTTTGGGGACTCACTTGCATGACAGAATATTACCATGTCATGCCTATGTGGCAAGGGATTTGGCATTTGGGTGGGATTTTTGCTACCCATTTGGTCCTCTGGATGCAAAAGAAAGCAAATGAAAAAAAGAGGATCCAATGCCTTATATATTCAAGAATATCATTTTAAAAGTTGTAGACAAAGGGTCTATTTCGTATGGTAATTAAAAAATTACCTAAATTAGTTTTTTCAATTCATTAACAATTTGGATCATAATCGCTATTTATTACACTTAAACCACTACATAAAAAGCTAGTGGATTGAAAAAACTAATTTAGGTAGCTTTTTATACTGCACCACTAGTTATTTGAAAATTTTAAATTTTATTGACAAATTTATCCATTTTAATTTTTTAAATTTTAGCAATGATTTTTAATTAATATTTATCTAATAAGTTTCAATTTTGTTTATTATTTTTAACAACATTGAGTAATTATTATATTTTTATTTTTTACGTTAATTTATCATAAAAATATATTAACTTAATAAACAAAATTTATTAATTAGAAAAAATAAATAATTTTTTTATTTAAATATATTAAACAACAATCACTAACTATCATATAACTAAACAATTATATCAATCAAATTTGTTATTTATTATCTGCTACTCGCTTTCTGCTATTTACCACTTATTTTCTGTTATCCATCATCTACTATTTGCTAACTACTACTCACTACCCATTACTACTATCTGTTCTTCTTTTTTTTTTTTTCCTTTTGCATCTAGTGGATCAAATCAGTGGCAAAAATCCTGCTCAAATGCCAAATCCCTTGCCACACAAGTGAGTTCCCCAATGGCATTAAGTTGACAACAAGAATAGGGGCTAAATTGCAACAATTGCAAAAGTTAAAAGCTTATATGCATTAATTAAAGTTTGGGGGCTCAATAGCGATTCTAGGTTAGTTCAAGAGCTTAACTTATGATTTTGCTTAAAACAAAAAGTAGGCTAATGATATGTGGAAGATTTATATGTGAATTAATTCACATTAACTCGTTTAATATTATAATATTATTACAGGGGAGGCTGATACAATAATATTATAATATTTTTTATAGGACAAATAAATTGATTGAAACCTTAATAAAATTCTTATTAGAATTAGACAAATCCTAACAATGACAGGCCCAATTAATTGAGCTATTCTAAATAGTTACCCTCCCTGTTCCTTTATAAAATGATTAATTAACCTTTATAAAGGTTTTAATCAATTGATTTGTTTTATAAAAAAAGATTATATAATTATTATAATTTTATAATTTTATGTGATATTATAAATATATTATTCTTGTGATGTATACAAATATAGTCAAGTGAGTTAACAATGTTTGAGATGTAAGTAAAGAGACATCAAATTGTTATTCTTACAAGTTTGTTATATATCTCAATGTAGTATAAGCATAATATGAAATGTTTTTAGTTCCAAAAATTCATGTTTCAACTTTGAATCTTGAAAGGAAAATGTACGAGGACCAGGGGATTGAAAAAAAAAAAAAATTGGGGTATTAAATGAGATGTTAATTGTATACTTGGTATCAACCAAAAAAAGAAGAAAGATTTGGAGAAAAATGGGGATTAAAGGAGGGAGAGAGTTTTTCAATTTAAGGTGTGGAGCCCAAGAATGGAAAGGGACACTTGGGCTATACATGAATGGGACACTTGGGCTACACATGAAAGGGGAATGTTTTTTGTATAATTCTTTTTTTTCATTTTTTTTATAGTTTGATATATTATTAAAATAATTAATTTTTTTAATTTATATAAGATTTATAATATTATATATATTCATTTAATAATATATAAAAATTATATAAAAAACTAAAATACAAAGATTATTTTTATATCATCACTCATGAAAAGGACAGTAAATGGGATGCGACGGGGGAGTAATGGTGGGTGGGGCCCACGTAAAGATTGCCAAGTTCAAGTTGGCGTTCGAGATGGATCCATAAGAGGTTGTCTTTGCTGATATGGATGGAATGAAATTCTTCCCCGCCCCTCCTCCTCCTCCTCCTCCTCCTCCACACACACACACCCACCCACGCAACCCACCCCCCCTCCCCCCGGGGATCCCCACGGGGAAGCCCATCGGCAGTGCGAGGCGGGGATGAGGAAGAATTTCCCGTGAAAAATCGCGGAGATTCCTTCTCCGCGCAAAACAAGTTACTGGGTTCAGCCTAGCAATTGTAATCAATTCAATGCATTGATCATTTTTTAAACCAAGGTTAAACCTCTTATTTAATCTCTTAATTTTTTTTAATATTAACTTTTCAATATTCGAATAACCACATTAGACTCCAATTAATTCGAAATCGAATCATATCAAACCCTATTAGAAGAAAACTCTTCCAACGTTTATTTCTTCATTTATAATATTTAAACTCGAGATCTTATTTAAGAGAAATCGAACTCTTTCCACTCAGATCAATAAGTCAATATTTAATTTCTTAATTATTGTATAAAATTTTGAATTAATTTTTAAATTAAAAAACCTTTTAATTTGCTCCTTAACATTTTTCTTTAAACTTTTTAAATATGATTTTAACTTAATCCTTTTATTAAAAACAATTAATGTATTTGCTATTTTCCAATAAAAAGCTGTTACTTAATAGTCACCTATAACATTAGTAAGATAATACACCAACTATATTTGAATGAAGAGACCGACTTGAGACCAAATTTAAAAATTTTAAGAATGCAATCAAGAAATTTTTTAATTCAAATCAACTCAGAGATTTATACAATATTTGAGGACCAAATTGAAGGTTTAACCTTGAACTAATAAAGCCCAACCAAATCTACCACCGCCAGTGAATAGGCGCAAGAGAGGAGAAGCAACCACTGACTCTTACCAGCCCTTTTTTTCTAGGAAAAGTGTACTTCCATATAAATTGTACAAAAAATACATCAGACTAATCATCAGATAAAGTAAGTCCTTATCAAGAACCCTCCCCAAATTTAATAGACTTTGTTTTATAATCCAGTGCAATTATAAAAACAAGTTTCCCTTTTCCAGTTAAAAATAAATAAATAAATAAACAAGGGTACCTGGCCAACTAAACTCAAAAGTTAAACTAATGGTGATCTGTATATCTTTTTCACATGAATGGGGCGTACACGATTCTTAGAAACAGAATTTGGCTTATTTGTCTGGTAAACATGCCTTTAAGATGTGACATCGAAATCAATTAATGGAAGAATAATGAGAATACTATAAAAATATGGGAGTTCACATCAAACACCAAAGCTATAGACGCAACCAACAAATGGAAAAAAAATAAAATGGAGGTTAGGACAATCCGTCATGGTTCCTTTTCTGTTCTCCAAATCCATACTTAAAACATTAAATACGTAGCTTGACATCCTCTTTTACCCCAAAATTCCAATGAATTTGAATTAGATAACCACAACACAGTAAACAAGATAATGCTAAAATAAGAAAGGAAAAATTAAATTTCATTCATGCCAAGTGTAACAAGTCAACCGGAAGTGCCAAGGAGTAAGGGAAGATTGATATGTATTTGAGTAAGCTCACTTGGAAAATTTCTGCCAATAAACTTAGCCACCTGCCTTGAGAGTATTACTCAACCTGCAGAACATCATGTATATTCTCAATTGAGCAAAATGCATGAAAATGATAGTAAAGCAAAGTTTATATCAACATATGGCTGGCATTTTCCATCACAATTAAATATTATTCACCAGTATAAACAGCACAACAATAATCCTTGTCATATCAGAAATGCATTACGTTTTTTTCCTCCTTGATAAAATGCATGATTTACATTGAAATCCTATTTGACACACCATCTGGATATTTCTGTCAAGATAATTATTCATGTTGGTTTAAAATTCCCTCCAAGTTTCATTTCAATTATTATTCCTGATTCTAGTCTTTATTTCAACAAATTTCAAATTTCACATAAAGAAATGGACATTGATTCCCGAAAGTCTCACTGTTAACTCAGCTAACCATAATAGTAGTATGGTGTGACCTCAGTGACATGGCCAAGGTATATGGTCCTCATAGAAGGGAAATAAAATCAAACTTCAAACTGAAATTTCATATCATATTATGTTACTAAATTATTTAGATAAATACCAAAATTTCCAACACATCAGTGAACTATGCTTACCAGTCAAAGCCCTCAAATAGACCTTCACCCTTTACTGCACAGGCTTTAAAAATAGCCCACTGGCGATTTTTTATTTTGTGCAATTCCAAAGCCTCAGTGACAGCAGCATCATCTAGGGCACCAGGGAGATCCTGTTCATATAGATTAATGGGTAAAATTCAGAAAATAGCTAACCATATTTATGGAAAATTTTATTCTGTAAGAGTTAGAATTGGACAACTAACAACTTCACAACTTTTGCATGTAGAGGATAAAACAAATAATGTTCACCTGCTTGTTTGCAAAAATTAGGGCTATTGCACCTTTCAGTTCATCCTCCTGCCCAGAGTTCAACAACCTAGATTAGCATGCTATCTTATTACCAGACCTATAAAAAATAGGTCAGGTACCATATGGATGCAAACATGAGTAATCCAAGGAAATTTGAACCAAATAAGAGGCAGAATTTCAAATGAGAAGAGACTTGCAGTTTTTTTTTTTTTTTTTGGTAAAACCAATTATATAGAATCGTTTTTGAAGGTTTTAAATCTTAACAATTTTTTTGGTAAGGAACCCCCATAATTGACTGAACCTGAATGACACTAGAAGAAATATGATCACAAAGCACTTGTAACAGGGACAGGCTGACAAATATAGATGGATCTTAGCACCCCTAACCAATTCTGCAGAAAAGCCCTGATGCATTCTAAAACCATCCAAAGTTTATATACATCTTATGCCCAGCTATTTGCTACATCTACAAAACATTACTAGGAAAATATCCATCCAGCCTATAACTTTACAGTCGACCTTAAATTTTTCTAAGGTTGGTGACGTCTAGAGTGACATTAGCAATCACCCTGCTTTTAACTAATAGTATATTGGTAATTGCAGAACATGCAGGGCTTGTTGTTTCCCTTCTATCATTAGTTATCTATCTCCTTATCCCATCTTTTTCTTGATTTAACCATACAGGTCAAAAACTTGTCTCAAGGTCAAGAGAACAACTCATTAGACAATCTATTGAAGAAACAATTTAAATTGTAAACATGTCCTAAATACCATGAAATTACCTCCAAAATGGCATGAAATTCTTCTTTAGCTATTCCAATTCTATCAGTGTCACTTGAATCTACAACATATATTATCGCTTGTGTATTCGGGAAATAGCATCTCCAGTATGGCCTGTTAACAAACACAGAAGAAA